TTAGGGCTTAGGGTTTAGGGGGCGGGCATGGGGGGATTTAGGACCTCCGTCTCTAAGACTCAAGATGCCCCGGAATCGCTGTGGCAGGGACACGCACTGCTCTGAATCGGAAACCCTGCCACCCCCAAGCCCCAAATTCCAAACCCGAAGCCATACGCACCTTAAAAGCCGGTAGACCCCAAACCCTAGACCACAAAGAGTAAATCTCAAACCTCAGACCCTATGCCCTACTCCCTGCTCTAATTTCTTCTGGGTACGCGTGCGGCCGGGAGTTGGCCGGACATGGCGCAGGAGGCATCGCATGGCAACGTAAGCGAAGCTGTGGTGGTTGTCGGTCCAAGGCCCATCTTGGGTTTAGGGTTTGGTCTGCACGCGGCTGCGGCCTACGAAAGCCTACAAGACGGTTTAGGGTTTGGGGTAGAGAGTTTAGGGCTGTTGGTGTTTATGGCTTATGGTTGTCGGGTTTTGCAGCGGAGCTCACAGTTTAGTTGATTATTCAGGGTCCAGTTCTCAAGCTTTTGGAGTTCGACATGCCGCCGCTTCGAGTTCTTAGTTGGGCTAAGGGTTCGGGTGAGCCATGGGATCAAGTCATGGATCGAGCGTTTTTGGAGCCTGTGAGCTTTCGGAAGCTGCTTTGAAGCTAAGGGTTTAGGGTTTAGGGCTTGGGGTCTAGGGTTTAGGGTTTAGGGTTTAGGGTTTAGGGTTTAGGGCTTGGGGTCTGAGGGCTTGAGAGGCATGACAAACAGCACACTCGCTCAGGCTCCGTGAGGTCAACAAACGTTGCATGTCAACTCAACGCATCTGAGTGGTTGTCCAAAATCGGTTCTCTCTTGAATTTCCCAAACTACAGGGTGCCGTACGCTAGCAAAAAAAACCTAAAGCCCTAAACTCCTGAAGCCCAAGAAATCCCATCAAACCCCTAAAGACTGAAAACCCTATACACTCCTACATCCTGAACCGCTAACCCTAAACCCTTAGCCCTAAACCCTAAACTCCTACATCCAGAAAACCCTTAATCCCCTAATCCGCAAGCCCCGAAACACGAAATAAACCTAAATCTATGGCATTAGAGGGCCTTATAAGGTTTAGGGTTTAGGGTTTATCCTCACTGGCATCTAGAATTCTGAGTACGGACTGCTGGACAAAATCCCCGACCCTGAACCCCAAACCCTTGCTACTCTGGGACTAAGCCCTGTACCCCTAAACCCCTAAACAGTAAACCCTGAACCCCAAGCCCACGCTACTCTGAGAGCTCGAACCCAAGGCTTCGCCGGAATCTGCGCCAAGATGCGCAGCCTGGGATGAAGGGCTCAGACTACGGGATCTTGTAAGGAGGATCCTATGAGATGAATCCTCTGAGGACTCCCTGAGGGTTCCTTCAGGGGTCCGGTGTGTGCTTCGGGTTTTTCGATGGTTTAGGCTTCCGAAGACTAAGTAAACCTTTATAACCCGAAAAAAATCCCCACAGAAAAGACAAAACCAACAACAACGAAAACACACACACAC